ATATATATACTTTTAATGAATATGATGAATTTCCTTGTGTATGAACCTCTGTCCTATGTGGCAGTGAGAAGTGATACCAGCCTCAGTGTCAAGACCTGACTGAATTACTCAGAATAGGCAAACTGTACTCCAAGCTTTGTTAATAATTTGTTAAACAAAAACTCCCTCTCCCTTTTCCCTTCTCCTCCTACTGCATCTCATGTCCCATAAGATGCGGTAAAATATATATATATATATATATATATATATATATATATATATATATATATATATATATATATATATATATATATATATATATATATATATATATATATATATATATATATATATATATATATATATATATATATATATATATATATATATATATATATATATATACACGCTAAATAGGGATAATCATGAATGAGATTTAAATAGCAAATGACATTTACTATTATAAGAGTGATTAGATTAGATTAGGTCAGTTGGTACAGTAAATAATTGATTCAATATATATATATATATATATATATATATATATATATATATATATATATATATATATATATATGTGTATATATATATATATATATTGTTTTGCTCTGAAGAGAAGACCCAGTTTCCTAAAAGCATTCCTAGTAACGACAGTAATGCTGGACTTTCACGTGAAGTTAGGAAAACCCTAATATCTAGCTTCTGATGAGTGAGGAATTGTTCTGTCGACTGCCATACAAAGAAATAGGTGGAGTGTGGTGTTGGTCTATCGGAGAATAAAGGGATTTACATCTTAATGATTGAAAGAGACGAAGCAGCCGGAACCTCAAGTCGGGATGGAATCTACGTCTAGTGGACGGTGAGTAGTAGGAAGAAAACTGGCATTTGTATGGGTTAGAGGAATGTAGAATGAAGTCATCATCAAATGAGTAGATCCTTGACGAATAATATAAATAGGATGTGTGATGTGATAGTATTCTTTGAAACACCGAAGACGGTACAGTAGAGGTTACTGTTTATTGTTCGTCAGAATGAATATATCAACCGTCATCTGCTGGTATCGAGTAGTTTTCTAACGTTTAGACGATGTCTTATATCAATTGCTCTTGTCCAAATCTATGTCTTATGCTCCAGTAATGACAGTCACTAATTTATGCATACTGCTCTTATTGGCGTCACTACTTACTTCTATTTCTTGAGTTAAAATGGAAATGTTTGTCCGATGTTGGTGTCATAATTTGAAGTCTAAAACTTGACTTAAAAATCTATAGTGTTCATGTCAAGGTAATTGTGGACTAACCGCTCCATGTTGGTAGCTGGTAACTTGACTGGCTGGTAGTGTTGTGAAGGACACACAGGTATCCTGACAGGGGGAAGGTGGTGTGGTGGTGATGTGAGACTGTCACCACTCCAACTTGTGTGTGTGTGTACCCAACCTAATTGTGTTGGTGAATATCTGCAGCTGACAGGAGGCGAACACACCGGGCGTGTAAATTATGTACCTGCCATAGTGACACGCAAAACGTACCAGATGTGTGTGTTGGCTAATAGTATTCTCTCCTGCGAGAGGACTGACATTATACAAGCATGCCAAATGTTAGAAATTACTGTATATGGCTCGTTCCCTGCTACTGACAACAGCCTGATCGTGACACTTCTGCATATTCTATTTACCGAATGCTTCTCTGCGGAACATTCTCATTGTCTGTCTAGACTCTAGAACGTATTGATAAATAGTGTCGAGGCTGAGCGTGTGAAGGCTACCGAGCTGTGTAGGTTGAGGCGGCAGCAGTGTGTAGCCGGTGTGGTGCGTCGCGTCCCGGCCGCAATCCGGCTGGAATATTCCACCGGAAAACCTATAACACAATGTCCCCCTCCTTCCCCATTCATCTCAACTATTGTATTTTTCGATAAATCGCTCATCAAGCTGTCCCTTCCCGAGAGATGATCCAGTATAACCCACAAGAACAACAACTACAACATTTTTCCTAGCTAAGGAAAACTGTAGACGTGAGACGGGTTTCTGCATCAAGCAATAATAAATGTTCTGTGCCAGAGGGTACAAGCGAGACGAGACTCCCATCACCAGCCCGGGTAGCAGCGGAGGCGGTGGTGACGGTTATGGTAGCGGTGGTGGAGAAGCAGGAGGAAGACGAGGGGGAGAAGCGGGGGAGCAACATGAGCCGGGAGCATCTGAGACGATGTACACACATTCTCTCTGGCATTGATCCCCAACCCGGCCAAGACACCCACCGCCACCACAGCCTGCCTGTCACCCCACATGTCTTCCTCCCAGCTGTTTATTGGGCCCCATCTCTCTCGCCTGATATATTGCGCGCTTACACTCCATAGTTTTAGAAGGCTTAAGCTATGTTCTCAAACTCGCCGGCCTTATATTTTAAAGGAATGATTGTTTTGGCTAACTTTGCCGGCCGTAAGTTAGGAACAAGTGTGAATTTGATACTTTCTTCTCGCTATGTGACGATATAGAGATGCGGTCTGTTATGGTGACGAGGGAAGCTAGCCTTACAACGATCAAAGATTCTCCAGACTAGAGCAGATGAGTGCGACGACCCAAGGGGGAACACAATGACACTTATGAAACTTTCAACAGATAATATTCAGATAACGCTTGACATGACGAGAACATTACTGAGCTTATTTGATGACAGTTATCTTCCCCTTCCCTCGTGCCATGGGTTCACATTAGTTGCTACGGACCGTTTCTTTCGTCTTATCCTTAGTTTTCAATTAATTCAAGCCCATTCTTGGTGTATTTGTCGAGGTAGGGTGGGGTGGGGTGGGGTTTAAAGAGTGTCCTGTTGGGGATGTCGTTCGGTGTAGTGATATGTAGAATGTGGTGTGGTGGTGCGTGGGTGTGTGTTTGTGTACTACGTGTTACTGGTGGTGGTGCTGCAATGTAAGAAACCAGGGATGGCGTGTGTGTGTGTAATAATAATAATAATAATAATTAACGGTTTATTGAAAAAGATAGTGTGTGTGTGTGTGTGTGTGTGTTTGCGTGTACTTTGGTATTGTGTAGTAGCTGCGTTGGTGTGTATGTGTAGTGTGCGCAGATAATGATGTAGGAACGTGGTTCGCCAGTGCTTGTGTAGGTGTCATGTGAGGAAGTAGGGTGTTAATGATGGCAGGGTGTGTATGTTGTGTGAGGTGCATACAGGAGGCAAGTGTGAGTGAGGGAAGCAGGGTGAGTGAGGATGGTGTGTGAGTGAGGGTGGCGAGTGTGAATGAGGGTGGTTTGTGAGAGTGAGGGAGGCGCGTGAGTGAGGTGGTGAGTAAGGGAGACGGGTGAGGGGGACCAGGAGAGCCCTGCCTGAGCTGCTGCTGCCACTGTCAATAACCAGTATAGCCGACCTCAGCCCCCGGCCACACCACCACACGCGTCACCTCCAGGGCCTCACACAACACACCGGGATGTGACCCAGGTTCTGGACACACCTAGTGCTCCTTTTTGTCATATTTTCACTCATTAGACAAAGAATTCTACATATGCTGGTGTTGTGAAGATTCGACACTGCATTTTATCAAATGATGAAGTTATACAGAGAACAGACAAGACTGCAAAATGATTATGGCGGTGTGTGGCGGGGATGACAGAGTTGTACTATATTTATAAAGATAAAGACAGGAAGGTAACAAGAGACGTGGATCATCTGAATACACCCCTCCCCCACCAGCGCTACCTGGGGAAGAGATTCGTCAGGTGATCCCAACCTAACCTAACCTATGACTAAAAATGTCCTCTCTAGAGTGGCCACCTGAAGAATGTACCACCCAGGGCTACCAGGGGACGAGATTTTTCAGGTGGTCCGGAGACGCCTCAAATTCAGCGTTGTCAGTCTCGCACACCACCTGTTATCTGCTCAGGATGCCAGGAAGATTATGACCCCCTTCATTTGCAACCAGGTGAAGGGGGATGCTGGACTACCTAGACCTGACTACAGAGGGTGCTGAGGTTAAAAATGGTTAAGAAACGCTTACCCAAGGTTTTAGGTGTACTGGCTGGAGGCCTCAGATCTGGAGGACTCAAAGTCATAACTGTCAGGATTTACACTTTCAGGGCCTGAGCATTTAGTGGTGGAGGTCTTAGGGCCAGAGTTGTCAAGTAGCAAAAACCTAGCGCCGTGTGTGAAGGCTGGCAGATTCATCAGGTAATGCGACCCGCAGGGCAAAATATTCAAAAGAAGCTTTCCAGGTGATTCATTACTGTTGGCCCTCGAGGACTGTAGTGACGGACGCCAACAGTTACTCTTGCAAATGGAATTAGAAATTTTATTCACAAATACCAGAGAAACTACAGATTTGTGAATAAAGTTCAGATTCATTAGTTTTTCTGCAGTCTGTTGTAGGCTTAGGATAACTATGCATTTGCATATGTGCATATGCAAATGCAAATTTTTGTCATTTTTGAGCTTAAGTGCATAATCATATTTTTTGTTTTGTTTTATAAGGCATACAGTATATTGGGAAATTCCAAAATATTATAAAACATTTTTCAACCTCAAGGGTAAAAAAAATCGCTAGCTTACAAGCAATGTTGGGGCAGAAAGTATTGATATTTTATATATAAATGTATTTCATTACACTAATACAAAATCGAAAATACGCGATTGTGTTTTTGCGTCATAATATCCAAAAGGAACATACTTAAATGACGTTTATATAGCTCAACATTAGGCTCTGGTTAGTGTGAGATTGTGAGATGGAGTACCATCGTACGATATGTTTTCCCATGTGTTAAGGTGGGAGTTTGTTTGTGGCAACGCCGGGTTGCCAGTCACCATCTGACGCTGCAAGAGTGAAGTTTGCAAAGAACCTGGTCTATTATTCAAACCTCTCACATGGCGCAGTGAGTAGGATGCCGGGGCCCGACACGCCATAACAGCCCTGACGAGGACGCCAACATGGCCCCTACACGTCCACGATTCTCGACGCCCTCAAGGGGACGCCAGGGCATCTCTACACCGGCGAGGAACACCACCCACGCCCATCAGCAGACCATGAGTGCATTGATGGCTCAGATTGCGTCTCTAGCTACTGGCTGCCGCGGTCATGCTCCTATGCCAGTCATGAAGCCCTCATCAGCGGTCGTTCCAGAGAAGTGTGAGGCAGAAATGACAGCAGCGGCATTTAGGATATGGAGGCGGTCCATGGAGTCTTGGGTGCTGTTGAACGGATGTTCACAACAGGTGGCCACACTCCACATTCGCCTGAACTGCATCCCTGCACTCCAAAGGGTGATTGACTCGAGATATCCTAGCGGTCAGTGGGAGCAGCTCTCGGTCAAGTAAGCCCTGGACGCCATCAGTGGAGTGGTTCTTCAATCGTCAAACCAAACTGTGAAATGGAACGAGTTTTTCAACAGCAAACAAGATTCAGATTCAGATTCAGATTTGCCT